AAGAAGGAGATGCAGTGCCACTGCCCATTGTCAGAGGGACAAAGGGCCCTATTATGGCTCCCAAGAGCAGGGCAGTTCTTACCGTAATTAGGAGACAAAGATGCACGATTTAGGATTTTACATAATCAAGAGATACTCTCCCAAGCGGGAGCCCCTCTCACACAATCAGTGGATTAAGTATTGTTTATTCTGCCGCAATTAAACAATGAGGTGCTCCCCACTCGGGGCTTTATATGAAAAAGCAGTACTGGGGAAGACAATGCAGGGTGTCTTTTCATCTGACTTTGAACAGCTAACCCTGTGATTTCAAGTTGTTCATCTGACAGTATCTGGAAGGGTAATGGCCCACCCTGTAAATTAGCTGCTCACATAGTGATCGGGGGCTGCCAGACAGCCCTACCTTTCCTGCTACTTAGCAGAGGGGGGCCAGGACAGACAGACTCAGACAGCTCTGGGGCAAGAGGCTGTATTTACACAACAGCACCACAATGGCAGGATTAAAGGACCACAAGGAAGCCAGGCAGAAGCTCCTGCCCACCCCGACACTTTGCTGCTGCTGGGGATGTATCCCTGAAGGGAAGCTGGTACCACCATCAAGGCAATGCATGCTGGTGCACCCCTCCAGAGCCCATGTCCGCAATCGTTTTTACACTAACTACCGGGGAAGCAAAAAGGAGTCGGATGTTTTCCCTGTGGTTTACAAAGAAAGGCCGGCTTGGCAGACTTAGTTTTGGTCACGATGAAACAGTCTGTGCTGGGCTACCTTTGGCAGCTCCAAACCGACTGCCAGGCCCAGAGCATCTGGCTCTGGGGTGCACACCATCTGATACCTGCCTCACAGAAGTCCTGATCAAGTGACTACTTTTACAATATTGGCAATAAAAAGAGACTGAGGGTGTTCTGCTCCCTGCCCTTTGCTCATAGCATAGCTGCTATGCTTTTTTTGTTTGTTTGAACTTTAAGGAGAGTTCTTCCTCGTCTTCTACAAGAAGCCAACACCAGGATTTGATGAATGCCTTCTAACATTTTGCTGTTTGCTCCCCTGCCACGAGCACACCCATACACCTGTGCCTCCTGCTCCGATACTCTAGCAAAACATTCTCTTCTCTTCATCTCTTTCACTCAAAGAAACTATCCCCAAGCCTCACCAAAAGGAATCATTTCAGTCACACGAATGCATGACTGAGAATGGCGTGCTACATTCAGCGTATCTTGTTGAATCTTACAAACAGTCCTGCAGAACCCTGGGAACCAGGCGACTACAGTCCCTGTCTGCCAAAGATTTTAACCCATTTCATTTGGGATAAAAGACTCACCGTAAGAGCAGCCCAGACTGCTCTGCTTACCAGAGGATTTTCTGTTAGGTTGGGCCAAGCAGATGTTGCCATTTGACTAGGACAAAAGTTGTGTTTTCAACCAGACAGGCAGGGCAAGTTGCACTCGAATATGTTAACTGGCCAAGGAGAACCACAGCTTCCCTGTCCTGTCCTATCTCCACTGACATGTCTTCAATTGCTAAAGCAAATATTTGACAAAAACTCCCTTACCATCATCTACAGAAATCCATAAAGACCAACATCCCAGCACCACCCCTAACTCACACCCACAGAGCTGGACAATTGTGGCTTTGATTTAGGGACACGTTTTAGTCTTTGTTGCTTAACACAATCAAGGGTAGTAAAATCCATTTCAATAGAATATTATCCAAAAGCAAGTCTTCTAATCCTAGAGAAAGAGTTTCATGAAGAGGAACAGTGTGTTTGCACAGCCAGTGTGTCTTTCTGCCTTGCCACAGCAGACTGCAAAGCTGCCAAGCTAGAAGGGTGTCTATTCTGTTACCTCTTAACCATCACTCAAAGCAAAAGAATCCACCTCTCCACTCAGCTTGCCAGGATAAGCCTAACATGACAGCTGCTTTCTCTAAAGCGTAAAGTGTATGGCAAAATTATTTCGGACTCCCTTTTGTGGGGGTTGCAGAGCTCTTATCAGAGAACAACTGTTTTGGTTTTGCTCTATAATGAAAATGTACTTCATTTACTTCAGAAACAGCAAACTCCATTTACTTAACTACTATTTGCTGGATCAAGTTTAAGAAAGAGCTTTCCAGCTCCCTTCCCCAATAACAGTAATATATGCTTTTAAAATGGTTTTACACATATTTACCAAGGTTTTCTAATTAAAAACACTGAAAAATTTAATAGCATTAATCCCATTTAATAGAATGGGATGGCTCTACTCCATGCCATTCTATGAAGAAACTGTATTCAGGAGAGAGTGTTGACACTTCAAGATGCTGAATTCTGAACTCTTCTGAAAAGATCATTAGAGTCAAATGTCTCAAAATAAAGCTTCAAACACTGGCAAGCTTCTGCAAATGGACCATCTCCTTTTCCAAAATAGCAGCTTTTCTATATGTTTAAACTAGACTTGGAATATCTCTTTTATATCTTCATGTATCTGGCTCTACATTTTTCTAGGGTAAAAAAACCCCAGGAAATAAAAAGTATCAGGAGTCCCAGGGGCAATTACGTGAACCAAAACACAACACCCAAGCACCTTCCGAAACAATTAATAACTATTTTTTCCTTGTTAAGAGAAGCTGATTTAGGCCAAAATCCAAATCATTCCCTAACCTCAACACGCAGAAAAGCATTAACACATTTTACTGAAAGTCTGGAACCAGAAACTCATCTATCTTCACTTGAAGAACCTTCATGACAGACAACAAGACCTTTATATCCAGCTGTCGTCTTCTGGATAGAACAATCTCATAGCTTGGTACCTGAATACTTGAGTTTAACTTGTCAAAATTTTGCAATGTTGGCATTTTACAGTTTTATGTAACAACACTGATGGGTTTGGAGGGGAGGAAGCAGTGCTTTAATTTCTTCTAAAAACATTCCCAGCTATTAACTGGCAAGATTTACTGTATTTGCAAAAAATAATAAAATTAAGCTGTACAGCACCCTGGTGACACAAGATAAGGCAGAAACATTAAAAAAAAACACAAAGAGGGGGCAGTTAGCAGTGTAGGGGTCTGAATGGCTCCTGTCCCTCCCCAGCAGGCTCCCTCAGGCCATCTGGTGACCAGAAACACTCTCTGGACTATTTCTTACCTCAGCGAATTATCTGGATGTGTCTCCATGTGGGACTCCAGCCCATACTTGCAAAAAAACTCTTTGAAACACACTGGACAATGATAAACGTCCTCCTCAGCCTTCTTATCCCCTTCACCAGAGTGACCATCCTCGACAACCTTCAGAGAGAGGGGAAAAAAAACCTCACTAGACCAAATTTTAACCAACAAACCATACATGCAATCCATTCAAAGTCCTCGTAAAAATGAAGTAGTGGTTTCATCTGTAACTTTGCTGCAGGCAACCATAAATGACTCATTTCGGCAACAGAAAGAGGGTAAGCGATGGAGCACGTGTGTGAGAACATGCATGACAGAAAAGGAGGCTCAGTAGGAGCTAAAGTGTGCAGCTAAGTCATGGATATATCAGATCTAACAAGAAAAAGTGATCTGAACAACTTATAAACCCATATGTTTATATACCACTGAACTAGCATTCCTCGCCCTTCAGAAAGCCAGCTGAGCTGTCAGCCTAAATTATTTATGCCACTGAGATGCTGCCAACTGCTAACTCAAGTGGTCCAGTGAAAAGCAATGAACTTCTGTATGTTTTCTATAGCCCTCTTCTGATTACAGGAAGAAAAGCATGCACAGAACAAGGGATACTGAGCTAAATGGAACTGCTACTAGCTTGCCATTTAGAGTCTGTAAGTGGAAACAGTCGAGTTAAGTTTGGCAGCCACTGTACATTTTGTATGGACTGAAATGCACCAAAATATTTCATAAACAAAACTCTAATGGAAATATCTAGCCTTTAAATAAATATTTTCTGGTTGCTCTTGCAACTCCAATAATGCATTATGCTACTGTGAAAGGGAAATGTACTACAAATTTTTTTTTCTCCAGATCAAGACAAAACCAGAAGCAAACGCTGTTTTTTTAAAAGTTCCAATCACTATCCTGCACAACTACTATGAATTAAATGGGAGGAACAAAAAAATAGGAAAAAAGCTGCAGTAGCAAAACAACAGTTAATCCTCTTGTTGTCCAACATCAATTATCTAATATAAATCATAAGCAAACCCAAAAATTTAAAAAATAAAGAATTACAAAATTTGAATTCTTTCATCTCTGAAGTTAGAAATTAATTTTCAATCTCAGGCAACAGTGTTGGCTACACGGGAAAAGCATGGCATCTTAAAATATATACAGGGCTGTAACAGAACCACATTTTAATAATTCTATGCAGACTGCATGAACTCAACAGCTGACAGTTTAGGAGGTAGCCAGGAACATCTTCTGCTTCATGCCCTGTAAAGAACCTTTTTTGCAGGTGTCCTCTCCTCTCTGTCCATCTCAGCATCATGACTAAACTTCCGTTTCGAAGACAACCGCCTGCGCTTCAGCGGCGATGGGGGAGTTGTGCTCGCGATGCTGTTCGGATCCTTCTCATGAATCTTCATGTGCCTGAGCAGGGGGGAGAACACGACACTGTCAGCAAGCATTTCGAGGCAGAAAGTCCACATAAATTTTAATGCCAATGCCACTTCTAAGGTATGCCTTTAAAGGATACCAGCAGAGATCCCATAGACCGGACTGAATTTTTGTAAAACAGCTGGGGCATGATCCAGCACAGGCCCTTGGCAGCGCCCAGGACCGTGTGGGGCTGCTGCACGGAGCCCGGCAGCTCTCCCCCACACCCCAACCCACAGTACAGCACCTGTCCCGCTACAATCTAGCCCCATGAGCATCGTGCCTGTCCCCCATCATCCAAGAGGCCCTGCTTCTGCCTGATACTGCACAGTAGTCTACATGCCCAGACTCCCATTCTTGTGGTGGGCTAGTAAGTAAAAGGCTGCAGCTTAGCATCCAGTTCTCTTGGTGCAAAAGAAGCACCCCATCTTCAGCTGGCTCTCCTTTTATAGTTTCAGACAAATGGATCTATATATGCCAACGTCAGAGCAACATTTCTTAAATACATTTATTTCCTTCTCATCCTTAACACACTGATGCATCCCAATATCACATTTCCACTGCAACTCTGAAGTCAAGATACATCTGGTCACACTGTTAAAACTGTACCAGGTATGGCTTGCAAAACTCTGTATTGCCAAAGCATGCTCACAAATGTGCTTCCCCAGAAAAACAACTACTTCTTGTCATGAAGACACTGGAAAGGGGAGAGGGACAAAATGGCTTAGGAAGCAATCTCATCAGTTATCTCTGTACCTGACCCACTTGTCTCTTGGTTTTCCCTATTTGGAACCTGAGGAAGACACTGTCATCTAGTTTCCTTCAGTTAGATGAAAGGTATGGCTCCCATGTTTCTTTTTCTGAGTACTCAAAGCTCAAATTGTGTATTTTCTTTTTTTTAAAAAAATGCAGGGCCTTTAGCCTTGCTTCGAAGTTACAGTGCTTTTGAAAAAAAAGAAAGAAACTTAAGCCCCTGCATGCAATGGAAATTTCTGCTTCTAATAGCTAGAAATGGGAGTGCAAGAGTGTCCACATGCCTGACTTCAAAGCAGCACGAGGGAGACAACGTTAATGGCATTTGGGCACATCCTTCAGAAGTCACACTCACAACTCAGCTCAGGACTGTGCCATTTAACTTCACTGCACGCTATCATGTTTAAACATGAGAGAATGTTGTAACCTAGATGAGTCTCGTATGTCCTCATAACTGCTTCGGTGTTATGACATAAAATCTGTTTTAGTTTTGGATGCCAAGGGCATGATGCTTCAAGATAACACACTGGACCAAACTGACCCACGGGCAGATTCCACTGGAGCTGCTGGGAGGACTGTCTCCTCACACAGTGCTTTTTTTACTGTTTCCTTTCAAAATCTCGGAACCTTTTTTTTTTACAAAAAAAAAAAAAAGACATCTAAATTACCATCTCAAACTACAGCAAAGCTTCTGAGGGCATTAGGCAGGAACAGCCTCAAGCCAAACGAACCACACGTACCAGAACTGATGCAAGATTAAAATGGCTGTTCAGCTACTGACTGCTTTCAACACCTGGCAAGACTGTGGCTGCTCAGAGGACCAGGTCCACATGAGGAAAAATGTGGCTTCTCTGGCTCCCCAGTGACCCTCACCAGTCACACAGAAATGGTGGATGGACATTGCTGACACCTGCCAGTCACAAAATGGGAGGTTCAAGGAGGAGACATCCATGTGCAGATGTGCCCAGCACGCTGGGCACAGCACCACATTGCTGAAATTTGTCTGACTCCTCTCCCCACCAGTTGCCCAACTGGGAGCAGAAGGACGGCTGAAGCTCTGAGAGTTTGGTTCTCTGCAGGTTTGACAGGACCCATGGAGAAGTCGGAGCCCTGACACAGCCTCCTGAGTGCAGTGCACTCCTCTGCCTCAGCCCTCTGGCAGCCCTGCCACCACAGGCACCAAAGCTAACTGATGTTATCTGCATGAATCCAGTGCTACCTGGTCTCACAAAATCTGAAGGGAAGGCATCTACAGGTACTGTACTGCCTCATTGAGCTTCTTATGGGTGATAAATCAACAGTGTGAGGAGCGTTGTCTGTATTCATGCAAGAACAAGGGAGAAGAAACCAGTTAATTTGTTCAAAGGGTTTCTGTCCACAATGATTGAGGATAAAACTCAAAAAGCATCAATAGTATCCAATCGCACAGGTAAAGTCAAACCTGGAAGGTGGTTTGTTGACCTTTTTTTTTTTTCTTTTTGGTAAAGACCGCTTTCCAGTTTCATTGAGCTCTTGCAAATGAGACGGAGGCTTTTGCATGTGCCTGTCTGTCCCCCCACCCCAGATGCACACACACGGCCTGCATGCTTACCCTTCTGGCAGCTTGCCTGGTGCATAGCTAATATTACTTGGCCAGTTACTTTTCAGATAGAAAGGAAAAGTAGTCAAGCTAAATCACATTCACCCAGAAAACAAACAACAAAAGAACCCGCTATGCATTAAACGTGGGACTTTTTGTTCCCATTTTCTTTTAAAGTCTCTTTTCTGCCAATAACAAGTATGCAGTTTGCTGTAAAAGTATGCTCCTGTTTAGCAGCTACCTATGCAAAACAGCTTCCTTAAGGCTAAGTTCTTTCCTCCTGCTGTTTGTCCACCTGTTGAACTCTGCCTGTTTCAATGGAGCTGCTCCCACTTGAGAGAGCTGCGATGACACATCCACAGCGTACTAACAGGAGAAACTGTTGAGACCTCCAGGTTGGTGCCAATTCAACCTGGTACATCTGCCTGGCATGACCTAATACATGCAAACACACTGGCTCCAGCAAGTCCTCAAAGCAGTTCAGCCGTGTTTGCAGTATCACGTAGGCTACTAAGGCAGGGCTTGCTAACATGGGTGTAGCACCACAGCAACAGGGCTTTGCTACGTCTGGTGTCAGTCATTGGCTGCCCCCAACTTGCAGTTCTCCTTCCTGTAACATGCATGCTTTTGTCATGCCCTAAAAGCAAGAGAAGAATCCGTACCCACAGCAAGGAATGTGGCAATCCCTTCATGTTTTAGTTTTGTATATTTGAAAGGAAGCAGCCCAAGCTATTGAGCTATAAACAGGAAGACACCCTGACTGCACCTTTGACTCTTACGTGTAGGTCAAATATCATGGGTGCTGTGATAGCTCTCTGCATGTGAACATTAAGGAAAAAAGAAAAATCTGAAATCAAAGCAGCAGGTTCCAGAGTTCTCAAGTTGAGTCGTAACCTGTCCACATTACAGGCCAGCAGGTTTGTTCCTTTGGCAGGTTAATCAAGTTTCACTACATCAAGTAAAGGGTGGGGAGGAAAAAGATTACTAGAGCTACAGCCCAAGATAAGCGGGAAGATAAAGCAGAGCAGTACAAAGGATAGACACAATCTTCATCTCTCTCTTTTACTTTGCAACATGGATGTTATTCTGCCTCGAGAAAACATTTATCACCCAACTTGGGCTGAACTGCAGCAGATGCCAAGTCACATCCACAACCTTTCTTTTAAAGTTAAAACACTCCCTTCACAAGAGTTCTGTTACTTAAAAAGTTTCCTGACTATAATTGGGAGGGGGGGGAAGTATTTGTGTTGCCTTATCCTCCTTTAGAAGAGTTTGACTTGATTAGATCTTACATGTAATGCTGAAAATGCTCGACCTCACTGTTTAGCCTGCCAAGATACAAGTAGAACAGGAACAAAGCTGTGCTTATAAGTTATTTTCCCATTGTGACTAACAACACATTTTGGCCTGACAACACTGGCACACTTTGAATACGAAAGCCAGGCTCATAAGTCAGCCTAGCTTTCAGCATCTTACAATGATAAAGGAAAATGATATGACATTCATCAGTTCCAAAAAAATAAAGATAAGGACTCAACACTGTAAGTGCGAATGTAGTGCAGAAAAAAGAAGCGCAAAATAAGGACACGCACAGAAATGCTCATATTCAGCCACACTTAGAGTAGCATGTGCCAGCAGCTCTTGGTGACCACTACTGTAGCTCAGATGAAAGCCAGAGCCACAGTGGATGAAACTTGGCGCTTTTTTCTAATTTAAATCAATTAATTGTGGCTCTGAGCCATCCTACAGAGCAACCCAAGAACAGCAGACAAGCTTGGGAAGGTACAGAGCCCTAAAACCTGCACTTCATACTGTGGCTATTAGTCTCCACAGCACGCATGCAAGTACACACACACTTGGACACCTCTGAGGGTGGAATGCTAAAATGCAACCATGATACACAGGATGAAAGGAAGGAGATAAAAATTTGAGCTTAATACTAGGGAGGACTCCCTTGCACTACATGCTAGCTAATCTTGATTAACCTCTCAGAGAAAGTGGTGGAACTGTATTTAAAATCAGAGCAGAGAGCTGGAAGAATGTGCAAAGAATAATCCTGAAACGGAAAGAGGAAATTAAGTCTTTTCCAAACAAGGTCTGATCCATCTCTGAACTAAACTCTTTAACATTTAAGAACTGCTATGCAAAAAATGCAGGTAACTTGCTACACACTATGCTTTTCGCAGCACAGCTGTACGTGAAAAAGCTCTTCTTGTAATCTCTTCCCTCCCCTTCACACAAGGAATTTCACAGGTGAACCAGGAGGATCCAGCTGTCCTACGACTGGGTGCCAGTCAGCCCTCTTGACAAAATCGCATTTCAAGTGCCTGACTGCCTTTCATTCCATCCTCCTGTGAGAATCACCTTCCGCTTCCCCTCTTCTGCCACAACTTTCCTCTCCCCCTAAGGGTCACGTGAACAGGATGACTAAAATGATACTGCACAGGAATTCCCCAGCTTCTTTCCTTTTTTTTTTTCTTTTTCTTTTTTTAAACAACTTGGAAGTAAAGGTTTTCAGCCCCACACTGTAACGCAGAGCATGATTTCAGAAGGGTGGCTATTCCACCAGAACAGCATCAAGTGAATACTTTGCTACTTTTCACTGAAGAAGAGACTTTTGTAATAATAAACAAATGCAGAACTCAAGAGCCTTACTCCTTTC